AGAGTCGAACAAGCGGCTACAAAGATAAGATGCAAGAACATTTTGTTTTATAAATTTTTAAAGGAGCTAAAATTTATTTCTAGTGTTTCATAAAATAACAAAAAAAGTCACAAATAAATCTGTAAATTATTTTAGTCCCAAAGTGTCACATTATCCCTCAATATAATCTCTCAAATATACTAAATTAATCCAAAATAGTTCCTCATGTTATAATTCTGATATAAAATTATTCTCAATTTAGTCTCTCAACCCTATAAAATTGATCTCCAAATAGATCATTATAAATCAATTTTATATAGTTAATGGACTAAGTTGGAGTAACCACATTAGTACAAATATATATATATATATATATGGCTATTTTTAATTTTTACCACTCGGTTGCCCCATCTGTGTTGCCTGCGGAACAGGGTGTAGATTGTAACATTGATTTTATTGCCCAAAATGATTCTTTTGTGACGTCTGCTATTCTGCGAGGATCGGATATTGTTCCGCCTGTGGATCCCTTGCCCATTGCTGACTCCTCTTTGCCATCTGTGGTTGTTGATGGAAATATGCTGAATAATGTTCCTGTTGTTGATCTCATTTTGAACGGTGTTTCTGGGGTTAATCTGGTTGAGGTTGCTGATTTTTCTTTGGGTGTCTTGACTAATATTCTTGAGGAGCAGAATTGTGTTTCTGAGCCAGTGGTGGCTAATGGCTGTGTGAATCTTAATGGAGATGTTTCGGGGGTTAATATTGTGTATTCTCCTGTTTTCAATATTGCTGTGGAGTCTTCCCAGAGTTCTCGTAGCCGGGATGTGGATGCCGTGGTATTAATTCTAAGGAAGGAATGGTGGTTTGTTCTAATTCCTTTGTGGATGTGCCTGTGAATTTGATTGAGCCACAAGCTTTGGTTTACCATGTGGGAGATAATGCGGGATTGGATGTGAAGACTCATCTTGATTGGCTCCAGTGTTCTTCTGAATTTGAATCTGATTCAGATGCCTCTTCGGATCACTATGGTGGTTCTTACCCTGGTCATGATTCTAAATTGGTTCGTGATAGACCTATTGTCTCTGTCGCCTCTCGTGGTAGGTTTCGTGGGAGGGGCAGAAGAGGTAGATAGACCTCTTTGTTATTTTCTTTTTGCACCTTTGCTTTCTCTGGATGGTTTTTTTGTGCTCATTTTATTTTTGGGGGACGTGGATTGTTTGGGCTATGATGTGGCTGGGGCTCGTTCCCCCGTCGTCATGCTGGTGGCAACCTTTGGTGATGCTTTTTGGCTCGGTTGGAAGGTTCTCTTAGCGTATTTCGTCTCAAAATTGGATGGCCCATGCGTGGTCAAAAAAAAAAAAAAAAAAAAACCAACCCCGTTTTGATCTTAAGTTACCTGTTTAATATTTTTTCTTAATTCTTTATTTATTGGTATAATCTTCTTATTTTATAATCAATCAACCTAAAATTATGGTTATCAAGTTAATAAAAAATTATTTTTTTAATTAAAACGGGTTATCGGAATAATGTATTCGGGTTGATAGCGCCTCGTATTCAGCTTCACTTTTTGACATGTTTATTAAGCAGATCGAATTTGAATTGATCTATTCAGATCTGCTTAATTTCGGATCATATTCAAAATCCGACCCGTTAACTCATTTTTACACCCGTAAAAAATCATACCAAACAGTCTTTAAATAATTTTCTCTCTCTAAATCGAATTTGAATTGATATATTCCGATCTGCTTAATTTCAGATCATATTCAAATCCGACCCGTTAACTCATTTTTACACCCGTAAAAAATCATACCAAACAGTCTTTAAATAATTTTCTCTCTCTACGCTAAATAATCATTAAATTTTTTTAATAAATAAGAAAAACAAAAAATAAATGTAAGAGGCAGCGAGGATATCAGGATTAAAAGTAGGCGAGAAAGGTGCGACACCACTACTAAACAATAAAAAATTAAGGCAAAAAAAATTATCAAGTTTTTTTTTCTTTTTCTTAAATTTTGATATATATATCATTAAAAAAATAAGATCACATGGTTTATTAATTCATAAATAATTCAGACTTTATATGAAAAATTAAAATATTCATAATTAATTTTAAGAAATTATTTAATTTTGAAGGCATTTATGCCCAAAAAATTTTATGCTGACATAAAATATTAAATAAAAATTAATTTAAAAAGTACTTATAATATTTTTTAAATATTTATCTTTTTCACGAAAATAATTATTTTTTAAATATGTAATTAATATCAAAGGCAGCCAAAGCGACTGTGGCTTAATCTGATAGCGATTGGAACTCATGCTGTCTTCGCTTGATGACAATTGAGTCTCTTTGATATATTTTTTAAGAATTTTAGACTTAATTTATTTTTTTATCGCTTGATGACAATTGGTCTCTTTGATATATTTTTTTAGAATTTTAGACTTAATTTATTTTTTTATTATAAAAATGTTTTAAAGATATATAATATTTAATAATTTATGATATAAAATAAGGATAAATTATTAAATTGTCTAGGTGAGCAGAAATTCCAATATACAAAGAGATTTGTTGGATCTCAGTGATAGAATTTTAATAAAATTTTAATGAATTGTTAACTGCTATTTTGTTTTAAATGATGAGTGATAAATTATAAATTTGAATTTATGAACTTAAATAAATATGTATTTTTTGAAAGAAATACAACTAAAATTCAGAGATATTGAATAGGATTGCAAATGCACAAAGCTGAGTTGAGCAGTTCCTTGTTTATGTTTATGTTCTTTTCTTATTAATTTGCTCAAGCTTAATTCAAGTTTTTCTGTTTGTGTTCAAATTAGGCTCCTTTAGATTTAGGCTTCGTTTGGAACGGCTTTTTTACTGTTTCTTAAAACAGCTTTCTAGTTTAAGAATTAAAATTTATGTACAAAAAAATCACTTTAAGAAGCATTAAAAAAGTTGTCCCAAACTTAGGCTTAGTTTGAGACAGTTTTCTTATTGTTTTATAAAACCGTTTTCTAGTACAAAAAATTCAAATTCAAAAAATATTTATACCAAAAAACTGCTTCATAAAGCAGTAAAAAAACTGTCGCAAACGAAACCTTGAAATGAAAGATGATTAAATTTGGTTTGTATTCGGTGCATTTGGATTTGTATCATGCTTATCAAGATTTAAACAAATGGCTCGTATAAAATAATAAATGAGCTTTATGGGGCTATTAACAATATTTTTTATAATGATTAAAAATGACTTTAAAAATGTTTTTACATGAAAATGTAAAGTAATTAAATTTAATTGGATATATAAATTTTTATGAAAGTGTAAGATTTTTTTTAATGTAAAACAAACTACAAAAAATTTAATTGTTTTGAAAGTTTAGAAAATAATAAACTTTTTTGAATTAATGTTAACGAGTAGTGAACCTCAAATGAAAGCAATAGTAATTAAGGATTGATTAATAGTTTAAAATATTAATAGGAGAGTTATTTAGGTATGCTTAAATGCTAAAAATTAATTAATAAATGAATTGAGTGCTAAGTTAATCTCAACTTGTGATTTAAGTTAATTATCATTCTTAATAAATAATAATATATAGGATTTAAATTTTGTAGCGGTTTTGACTAAAGAATTTAATTGATTAACCATAATTACATAATTCCATCATAATATTTTTTTGAAAATATATAAATTAATTTAACTTGAATAAAACTAATTAGCTACCAAATGATTGCTAATTAAGCTATTTTCATCAACTTATTATCAATCTAATCAAAATGAGATAAATTTAATTTAAAAGAATTAATTAGATTATTTGATCATATCTTAATCCAAATAAATCTCAATATTCTTAAATTTATTTTAAGATAAATAATATTGCACTAATCTAAAAAAAATCAAAAACTTGCTTTATCCTTCCTTATATCAAACTTTTTCAATTTAATTAGAAAAGAACTATGTTTGAATAAATTTAAATGTTATAAATTTATTTTAATATGAGTATACTATATCAATATATTCTTATATAATTTTATTTCAATTTAATTAGAAAAAATTTATGTTCGAATAAATTTTAAATTTTATAAATTTATTTAATAGGAGCATAATATATAAATAACTAAATAATTCTTGTATTATATTATCTTCAAATCATAGTTGGTCTCGCCTCCACATTATTGCCTCCACATTATTGGACGGTCCTTGCGTGGTTTCAGTGACGCTGGTAGCCACGACCGTTTACTGAGCTCGACCGTTTATTGTAATTTTCTTTTTATTTATTTTCCCTGCCTTTTTGTGTTGTAACCGTTGGTTTTAATTATTAATGAAATTGTTTTAAGAATATATTGGTTTTAAAAATTTTAAATGCCACCCTAATTATTTTTAACGCCATATTCTCACACAACATTTTTTCAAAATTATCTTTCCATTGAAGATTAAACATATAAATAGTTAAATATTAATTTAGACTTTGTTTGAGATAGCTTTCATATATATTTTTTTTTATATGGCAATCATAATTTTTGTTTGGCAAATGCATTTTTCTACAAGAATTTTTCAAAAAATAAAAAATAAAAAACTTTTCTCTGTAACAGTATTAAAACAACTATAATAAAAAGTTACAGCCGAACCTAACAGATTAATCTCTAATACAACATAAATCAGGCTTAATGGAAGCCAACTTATTTCATTTAACCAATTATTAAGCCAGCTTAAACTTAAGCTATAAAAAATAATTAAAAAAAAAAAACTCATATTCAAACTTCAGAATAAAAAATAATATTAAAAGCAGATACAATTTCACAGAAAAAAATAAATAAAAAAGCTCAACAAGATCTCCCATATTGAATAGCTTGAAGAAAAAAAAAACAAAAAAATAAAAAAAAACATTTTACAGTACAATAATTCGATCTAAGGGAAGCGAGCCGGGTCCAATTCCTGAGCCGATCGATTTTCTCTGTTTCCCCCAAATATTTTTCTTCAAGTCGCCTTCTTCATCTTCTCACTTCACTCTGTCACAGATTTCTCTCCTTCTACCTCTATGAATTTTCGACCGTTACTTCCTACAGCCCCAGCAGGATATAATATACCAGCGTTATAGGCAGAGCAATTAGCATCCCAAATATAACCCTGCGTTGATTAACAAAGCACAGACGTAATTATTAGCTTACTAATCACATCAATGTAATTTCAAGTCAACAATTCGACTGCGATGATCGTTAAGATAAGAAAATCAATCAAAATCATTTTTTTATCAAACCAACTAAGCGTAATTAGCGCACTCACCCTGTGCTGAGGATAGAAGGATGAACACCGTACTCCTTGGCGAAGACGAAGGGGACGATCCCTTGTGGAAGGGCCGCCTGTCATTAATGGCATAGTTAAAGACACAGTTTTGCATTCAACAGATGATGAGAAATAGGAGAACGAAGAGACAGAGAGGGAGAGAGAGAATGACCTGAACAATGGCGACCTGTAAGAGAACGCCACGTAAGCCGACGGCGATGGAGGCGGCAGCCATAATGGCCGGGCCTACGAGGAATCTCAAGGCCATGGAGAAAGCTGCCATCTTGTTTCCACATGCTATGATCCTGGGCTGTAACGCCATGAACAGACCTGCAAGTTCTCTCTCAGCTTCAGTTATTATTTCCATTACAGAGACTCAGAGAAATATGAAAATGATAATAAGCGAAGAAGTAAATTCAGACCGAGGCTGAACATTGCCATTCCCAGACCAGCATCCGACAATATGGAAATGGATTTGGAAACAATGGCAGGCATCTCAATATTCCATCTGCAGATTATAATTTTGTACTGTTAATTATACATTTTTGTGTAAAGGAAATTAAATATAAATATGCTATAACTACTAATTTTCTAAAAATAAGATATTCAGGAGATGAAAATATGTTAGGTTGTTATATACCTGCAGGAGATTAATGACCAGATCAGACCAATCAGACTGGAATAGGTGTTCGGGTTTCGAATAAGCTTTCTCCACACCATTATTAGTATCAGCCTTGTCATGACACTCGTCGGCGGCATAGCCGCCGCCGCCGCCACCGTCGCACTTGCTTTCACATCTTCCTCCTCCATCTTCTCTTCGTCGCCGGCTTCGGGCACACCTTCCCTGTCCCTCATTACACCCCTGTTCCCGAAGCTAAAGTCCCCCCTCTCCATAAACTCATCTTTCCGGCAATCCCCTGCAAAAAAAATTCAATTTTTCACAACCAGCTGAACTAAAAAAGATCAAGGTTAACATCAATTGCCTAATTTCCCAACCTTTAGTAGGAGAAACAGTCAATCTAACTTCTTTAGCCCCGTTAGCCTCTCCTGCCGCCGGAAAGCCATATTCTTGATTATTCCCAAACACATCCGATACCGGAGAGGCAGTTGAGCTCCACACAAACATATGTAAATCTTTTCCCGCGCCACCACCTCCGCCGGTATCCTCCGCTTTCACGGCCTTTCTTCCCAAAACACTCAGATTCGGAGCAGAGTAATGCAACCTCGTCTTCGTCCCCGGAGCCGGAACATTACTCAAACTCTCCTCCTCAAAATTAGACGGCCGAGGCGTATTTCCTCCGCCGCGCAGCCCATACACATCACCGGAGCCGAAATTCGAGCTCCGGCCAACCATAGAGTAGAAATCCGTGTTGTTAAAACTCGAACCACGAGGCGTCGGATTTCGGGAAGATTGCAACGAGTAGATCTCCACATTCGTCAAATTCGACGCCCGCGGCGTTGCCGCCGCGCCGGCTAATCCCTGCCCCGACCGCCGCGAATAAACATCCGATCTCGAAGCATTAGACCGCCGCACCGTCACACGCATCTTTCCATCCTCCTTCACCTCAGCCTCCGTCTCAATCGCCTCTCGGCGACCGTCGAGCGAAAGCACATCCGAATCGACGGTAATCGAAACAATGGAAGCCGCCGTGGTGGGAAATTGATCCGCAATAAGTAACTTTGCAGCGCGATACTCGAACATGAAGAGCATCAAAGTATACCAAATTATACACTGCAAGACGACGATTTGAACCATGAGGCTCGCGGAGAAGTCGCCGTACATTCCTTTGAGGAGGGGGATGCCCATGACGAGGGTGTTGGGAAGGGTGGAGAGGGAAAAGAAGGTGATGGACCATTCGATGGAGGAGGAGCGGCGGGAGATGGCGGGCCAGACGGCGAGTGAAGCAAGAACCAGCAATTTTTGGAGGGAGTCGGCGGCGAGGAAACGGAGGTTCATTGCAAAAGGATTGTTGGAAGAGATGAAGTGGAAGGAGAGGAGAGGCACGGCGAAGAGAGCGACGAAGCGGTTGATGCCGGCGCATTGGTCAGGGGTGAAGATGCGCCAGTGTTTGACGGAGCAGTAGGCGAGGAGCATGGCGACGTAGAGAGGGACGATGGCGGTCATGACATGGTAGAAGTCAGTAGAGGTTATCATTTTGTGATTAATGGTGGTGATATATATATATATATATATTCAAAATTATTAATAATCATATTTTTTTTTTCAAGTAGAAGAGGACTAGTGTTTTTTTTTTCAAAAATAAATCATTTATTCAATCAGAAGAAAATTACAGTCCGAGACCAAAAGCCATTGCAACAACAAAGAAAAGGACTCAAAACATATAGCTCGAGGCAATACATTGAGACTAAAATAACACGAAATCGGACTCAGGAATGGAAGCCCCCTGCACCAACCACGCGTCCAACCACTGACCATCCATAGGTGAGAAGTCCCCCAAATTCAAACCACCAAGCAATCCAAGCACAAGTCCAAATCACCTCGGTTGTCAACCAACCAAGTCAGCGAGGGAAAGCTCGGAGCTTCCTCATAATTGTCCACAAAGCCGTCAAAAACCACCGCCGAAAAGCAATTAGAAAAGAGGCAAGGCCTACTTCTTTTTTACCTTTATTCTTACGTTTATTACCACCATTAGAGGAACTAGGGTCAGCAAGTTTAAGAGGTGGAACCTCCTGACATTCGCCAAAATCCTCATCCTCCTCCCCATCAAACGAAGAAGTATCACTCAGAATAAGCTAATCATTTTGCACCAAAATAAATTTTTTGACAGATTTAGCCACCTAAGACTTCAATTCACTAGCATACATAACAGTAATCAAAACATTAATAAAAGTAGCTGAACTTCCCGAAATTCCATTGGACACATGCGAGACCACATTAGTGTGGACTAAAGACTAGGTCGGGGAAGACACATCAACCAACCCCGGTACAGCAGGCACCCGGAATTCACCTCCCCAGATAATTCTATCGGGCCAGGTACAACATCCACACCCAAAAAACTAGCCTTTAACTTAGTATCACAATGTCTAACTCCAACCAGAGGAGCAGAATGAGAAGGGCCCAAAGGAGACCTCAAAGACACCTCATTCCCTACCACCAGGCTAGCATTCTCAATAGTGACAGACAGGGAAGGGACCAAATTACCAACAATTGGGCCCTCAAAGGCAAAAGCCAAAGGACAATCGTCATCCAAATGTTCCACATACACCACGTTCGCTAAGTTATTAACTAAGTCAGCATTCACCTGAACATTAACTCCAACTTCCGGCACAAGCAAAACAAAAATCGTATTACCCAAATTCAACTAGGCAATGCACACGAAACAGAAGAAGAGAAAGGAGCTGGTTTAGAAACAGTATTAAGATGAGGATGTAAAATACGACAATCCTCTTTCAAATTGCCCAAAGAATTACAATGCATACAAAAGTGAAGGATATCATAAAAAATCACTGATTGAATATAACCGGCAAACCTACCCAGATTTTATCAGGAAATTTTTGGTAACATCCAATTCCACGAGGATGCGAGCAACCAAAGGTTGGGACCCGAAGCAGTGGCGGTGTCCGATTTTAGAGTTCGGCCGAATAGTGAACCCAAACTGAAGAGGATCCGAGGTGAGAAGAGATGGGGCCTAAGATAGGGAAACGAAACCTAGATGGGAACAATCGGGGAATCAACCTCAACATCCAAATTTGGGGACCATTTAACCACTTTCATATAACAGTTATTCACAAAATAAGATCGGTGAGAGAAGATCCTACTATAATCAAAATCGTTAACAAGCTTAATCAAAATATTTCTAGGGTTAAGAACTATGACCGAACAAACCAATGAGTTTTAAGCTGAAGAAAAACTTCTGAATGACATTAATGGAAGGATGTTAGCCAGGAAACATACCAACCAAAGAAAATTCCAACAGCACAACAAGCGATGAAATTTCCTCCTCCGAAATTACCAACACCGGTAAACCTTGGTGATAAGAAATACACAAATCAGGAGAATGAACCAAAGACGAAGAAGTCCCAGACAAGACCTCTTTAAATGAAAGAGTCGGAGAAGCTCAATTCGAAAATTCCTGGTCACGAAGAAGGGTAGACGACATTAAAGCCAAAAAACAAAAAATGAAACACCCAAAAAATTGGGGGACTCGAGAAGAGAAGCTTTCCTGAGGCACCGACGGCTGAGACCAACCTCGCAGCAAACGCCAAAGCAGGGGAAAAACCCTAGTAGAGCGAACATACTGCCAAAAAATCAACTTAATTTAACTCTATCATTCATGTCTTTAGAAGAGGACCAGTGTTACAAGTTATGGATATTAAGCTTCAGGACATTGTTTTTTTTTTTTTTTTTTCAACTTTTAAGATATTTTTGTACTTAAAAATAGCTTTATAAATCAATAAAAAGGCCATCCCAAACAAAGCCAAGGGATCTTTTTTAATGGTTGTAATTTTTTAAAAAATTATTGTGAAGTTGCTGTAGAGAAATTTAGCTTAAGTGCTTTGTTTATTGAAAAAAAAACTCATAAATTAATAGTAAAAAAAATTATGGATATTGTCTAAAAGCAGTGTCAAACAAACCCTAAATAAAAAATCAACTTATAATTTGATTTGCTCACTGTGAGATTGATCGAATAACTTGGAGTTGATCATGAGTCAAGTTGAATTGGGTTGTGATTAGATTGTTAATGATGATAATATGATTTGATATTTTGATGAAATTATATTATATTTTATTCTACTTTTAAAAGAATAATATATAATGTTTTTTTTACAAGTATTAATTATCTTATGAAATAAAATTATATTTTGAAGCATAAATATTGATTTAAAAAAAAAATAGTGGCCATTTAGATTAGATAAGGATGGACTGAGCAAAGTTTAGTTTTAAATATAAAATAATTAGCAGTTTGATATAAAATGATTAAGGTTTTAAAAGAATCTAATCCATTGCTTAATTGAGATTAGGCTTTAATTTATTTGCTTAATGCTTCTTTTAATTTTATTCTTTTTTAAAATTATTCTCTTAGGTTCATATTCTTGTTTTTTTTAAAATAATGTTAGTGGGGTACTACACCAGTATAACTGTATAAGTGTGGGATGGGATGTCTGGCTTAGGAGTATTTGAGGCCCAAGATCAGACTTTTGTAGGGCACTTTTGATGGTGATGGAAAATTAGCTTGAGAGGTTAACAAATTAATTACAAATCTTCCAAGAAAAAAATAATAAAAATAAATATTTTTTATAAAAGCAGTTTTTATTTAATATCAGTAACATAGCATAAGGGAATCTTTCTCATTCCTAATATTAATACATATTAATATCAAATAAAATTATTAAAACAATAATGCAAAATTTATTCCAAATTAATCGCCTCAATATACCCTGCAAATAAGTAAATCACATAATGAGAAAAAAGTGTAGTAAGTTATCGGAACCTATAATTATAATAAATGCTTCGAAAGTAAAATACTATGCATGTGTAATCATTTAAATAAAATCAATATGAACAATATCAACCCATATGAGTAGTACTATGTTAATATGAACAATAGTGATCAGTTTTAATAGTAACATCTATATAATATTTCTATAAGTATCATCTATACTATTTATAAATAAGCCAAATGTCATAATAGAAATTTGTATGTTGGATCAATATATGTAATCCCTAGCTTAATTTTATTTTAATGTATCATGTGAAATGCTATGGGAATTACTATCATATGAATCAATGCATACATATATATCAATTGTTAGTATATGTCTATATAATGTCAATATTAGTGCATAATGTTTATGTTTAGTCAATTATCAATGTAAGGGAATATCTTAGATGTCATATCTATATCATATCATATATGTCAGTATGTCTATCTTGTAATATCATGTATCAATGTATCTATTGATATACATGTTATATCATATTGGTGCATGTGTATCATGTATCATGCATATATCACATATTAGTATCATGTATATCTAATATCAGTATTATGTATCATGTACTTGTATCAATGTCAAGTATCATTTACATGAGTAAGTCTAATCACATATCTAATTCATATATCATGTCATGTCATATAACTTATATATATCTTATACCATATCATCTCTAATTATATTGAATCATGTCATATACACATATTAATTATATGATATTTAAGGAAGTAAGGACATCTAGCTTGTGTGGTATTTTTTCCTGTATCAAACATATCTTATATTAGTTTCATCAATCATGAGTTAATAAGTCAAGTGACTTCATGTTGGAGTCATCACTCATCAATCATATCAAATCAGCTAATATCTTTATACCTCTCTTTTTGTATTTTTTTAATGAATATACTATAATTTTTTATTTAAAAGAAAGTCCATCAGCGTACCCTCCTGTATAAGGCAATATGTCTTTAGATAACCCAAATCAGTTAAATCTCTAGCCAGTCTTTCTTGTATGCATATATGACATATTATGTACTTATCTTAAATAATAGATGCAAATCATATTAATACTACAAACTATAACATATATATATATATATATATTCGACATGCATGTCAATATGCATATTCTACTTGACGCCGAAGCTGAGCTGTTTCATTGTATTAACTTCAGGCTCGTTTTATTCCATTTGGTAGCTTATATGGCTACATAGGTATAGTGCTTGCTTTTGATTGTGTGTAGTCTAATATGTAACAACCTTTTTTCTATAAATAGGTAGCTATTGTTATAATAGAGGATTTTTTAGATAAATAATATTAGAGTAGTTTTACTCTGTTTTGATTTCCTATATCCTGAGATTGTTCTCATGTAGTGGATTCTTTTCCCAAGAAGGAGTTCTTAGAGTTGTGTCCGATGATGGACACTGAATCATCGACATGGATTCGTCGAGCCCTTTTCGGGCCGGTGTCATTTGGTATCAAAGCTGGCATGTTCGTCTTGTTCATTTTTTTGTATCCTGGAAAAAGATCCAGGTGGTGGTCACCATCTATCTCCTCTACTAGCCACCACATCCTCCATCTTTGTGACAACCAATAGCCTCCGACAACCAATAGCCTCCTTTTTCTGCAATTTCTTATCTTTTACCAAAGTCGACAAAGAAGTGTGGAGGCGATCACAATTTTTCCATCAACTAGCCCTAAGACAGCCCAAATAA